AGGAAGGAGGGAGAACGGGTGGAGATGGAGAAGGAAGAAGGAGGAGGAGGAGGAGGAGGCGGATGAGGAGGGGGAGGAGGAGGCGGAGGAGGAGGAGGAGGCGGAGGAGGAGGAAGAGGAGGAGGAGGAGGAGGAGGAGAAGGAGGAGGAGGAGGAGGATCTCGCCTTGTCAGCTTCCCGACGCTCCAAGACAGGCCAAGAAGCCCCGGAGACCGCCCCAAGATGGCCCAAGAGGCCTCCAAGAGAGCTCCAAAACGACCGGGGCCCCACGACCGACCAACAGGGCTCCAAGACAGCCAAAGAGGAGGCCCCCAAGACGGCTCCAAGGAGGAGCCCAGACGGGGGATTCCAATGGACATTTAGAGCCCTCGGCCCTGAGAGGCTCCCAAGAGACCTGAGAAGCACTCAGGAGGCCCCCAGAGGTCCCTAAGAAGCCCCCCAGGAAGCCTCAAGAAGCCTCCAAGAGACCCCCAGGAAGCCCCAAGAGGCCCCCACGAGGATTCCAAGCGGCCCCCAAGAGCTTCCCAAGAGGCCCCAAACTACTCCCAAGAGGCCCCCGAGAGCGCTCGTCGTCGTCGTCGTCGCCATTCAGGGTCGGCGGCACCGGCCGTAAGGCCTTCGAAATCGAAAGTTCGGGGGTGAGATCCGACATCGAGAAAGAATCGAAACATCGTCAAAGTCACACCTGGAGCCTGGACCCCATCTTTGTGCATGATTTTCAGGCCGGATCAATATGTGAGGGCCCCTGGGCCTGAAAATCAGTGAACTCGCCTGTGAGAAATATAATTTAGACGCTAGGATGTCAGGAACAGTTGTGCCCCATATCCTGAGATGGAGTTCTCATATTATTGAGACGGCTCCGAGATCCTTTTCGTCACCTCTTCGTCCTCTTCTTCGTCTTGCCCACTCAGAGCCACTCAGACTTACTTTATTGAAACAACTTACTCATACTGTCTCAGACTCAGATCCACTCAGACTCAGACTCATACTCACTCGTATTATGACATGCCCACACTCAGACCCACTCACACTCAGACTCACTTACACACAGTCTCACTCACACTCAGACCCACTCATACATAGACTCACTCATACTCAGGATCAGGCTCACTCCCTCTCAGACTGACTCATACCCAGAACTCACTCACACTTAGACTTTCACACATACACTGAGGCTCCTCGGACTCACGAACTCTTTTGACACTCCGAAGGGTGGCGCCAGGGGTCAGACAATTTTCCGGATTCGCGCTCAGCATCCTTGGTTTCGGAGCAGATGTTGAGGATGTCTTGGGCGAGGCGCCACAATCAACTTTCCTGTGCCAGTCGGTTCGCTTGTTTGTGTGCCTAACATCTCTTGATATCGGAGCAGAAGTTCGGGGATGTTTCAAGCGAGGCGCTGGTGTCAGCACTCCCTAATTGGGGAGCGCCAAGGTCTGTGACGCTCGCCCGTTCGCGCCCAGATTGTGGGGATGCCTCCAGCGATGTGCCTGCTTGCGTGCCCAACATCTCTCGGCTGCGACGATACTGGCGAATAGCCCAGGGGCGGGCATTACACGTATTCGCCCGGGAGCCTTCTCGAAGACATAGATCATCGGCGCACCTGAATACATGTATTGCTCTCCCCTGGGCTATTCGCCCCTACCGTCGACTCTGAACCTCTTGGCCGAGGAGCAACTTCTGAAGAGGTCTCAGGCGAGGCGCTGGTTTCAGCACTCCCAAATTCGGGGATGGACAGAACCCCCTTTAGTAAAACGTGGTTTAGTGAAAACGACCTGAGGCCCAAACTTGGCGGGCGCAAGCCTGGAAAATAACGGCCACGGCGCCCTCTCGAGAACCGAAAACGGACAATTCACTAATCGACGTGTCACTGTTGGGGGTTCTGTCCAGCCCCGACAAATGGGGAGCGCCAGGGGGTATCTCACGGGCCCGCTCGCGCCCAAAACGTGGGGATTGCCTGCAGCGGTGCGTCTGTTTGTGTACCCGACGTCCCTTGTTTCCGGAACTGTTCTTGCAGATGTCTCTGGCGAGGCGCTGGTGTCCGCACTCGCAAACGGGGAGCGCCAGGTGGTATTGACACCTGCTCCTTCGCGCTCGGCTTGTGGGGATGTTCTGGCGGTTTGCCTGTTTGCGTGCCCGACATCTCCTGCTGTCGGAGCAGTTTGTGAGGAAGGCCCAGCTGGGGCGCTGGTTTCAACGTTTTCAAGGGGGAGCGCCAGGTGGTATGGCACTCTCCCGTTCGCGCTCACATCGTGGGGATGTCTCAGGCGGTTTGCTTGTTTGCGTGCGCAACATATCCTGACGTCGGAGGTGTGTGTGTGGGGGGATGTTTCAGGCAAGGCGCTGGATTCAACACCCCCAAAAGGGAACGTCACAAGGTATGCGCCCGTTCGCGCTCATCTTGTCCGGATGCCTCACACGGTCCGCCCACTTCCCATGTCCTGGGCTAGGGTTCCCGTTGTTCTTTCGACGGTTCCCGAAAAAAACAGGCCTCATCCTCACCTCCTCGTCCTCATAACCAGACTCGCTGATCACTTAAGCTCATTCGTAATCTGACTGATTCGCACTTAACACACCCAGGCCCGCCTAAACTTACACTCGCTCACGCTCAGGCTCGCTCACACCCATACTGCCTCATACTCTTATTGGACCTTAGTCGCACTCACATACGCCAACACCCGCTCACACTCACAGCCGCGCGCAATCATGGTCGTTCCCTCAGACTCACTCATGCTCATACTAACTAACACTCATGCTCCTGCCATGCTCCGATTCACACTCACTCATACTCATATTCACACATATACTGTAAGGGTGTCTCAGCCGAGGCGCAAGTTTCAATATTCCCCAAAAAGGGAAACACCAGGGGTATCTCACATGCCCGTTCGCGCTCAGCTCGTGGGGGTGCCCCCAACGATTTGCCGATTGACTTGCTCGCGTTCAGCCTAGTTTGCGCGGATGTCTCAAGAGAGGCCCTCGTTCCAGCATTCCCTATCGAGGGCGGCAGGGGGTAGGTATCTCACGGGCCACCTCGCGCCCACATGGTGGGGACTTCTCGGGCGGGTTGTTCGTCCGCGTGCTCAACATCCTTTGCGTCCGGAGCACTTTGTGAGGATACCTCAGGCGGTGTGCCTGTTTCACACTATTACCGCGAGATGACCAGCGCGGCACCTGGGCACCCCAAGGCAGAAGCACGCCAAAGAGCGAAGGTAGCAACGTCATGCGCGCTTGCCTGAGTTGCCGCGGGAAGAACAGCAGGAGGAACTCCTCCTCGCTCTCCCACTTGTGTTTCCCTCGCCTCTCCTGAAACATGTCCAAAGGACGACGGAGAGGGCGTCACTGAAATCGTCGATGACGTCGTCGTCGTCATTGCCGCGCCTGTCATCGATGCGGACTCGCTCTTACACCCAGATGCTCATCGACAGGGTTTCTCGGAGAAACGTGACAGGAACATGGTATTACCTATCAGACCACCCTTCGGGTGATAAGGAGGTTGTGGGGGGGAGGGAAAGGGGGGAACCAACATCTGACTCAATCGATCTCACTATCAATTTCACTCAACGGGACACCACAGGACACCACGGGACACCACGGGACACTTGTCGATCTCACTATCGATCTCAATATCGATCTCACAAGACGGGACACCACGGGCCACCACGGGACACCGCAGGACACCTCTTGATCTCACTATCGGTCTCACTATCGATCTCAGTATCGACCTCACTATCGATCTCACTCAACGGGACACCACGTGACACCACGGAACACCTGTCGATCTCACTATCGATCTCACTATCGATCTCATTTTTTGGGACACCACGGGACACCTCGGGGCACCACATCGATCTCAGTATCGATCTCAATATCGATCTCACTATCGATCTCCCTCAACGGGACACCATGGGACACCATGGGACACCTGTCGATCTCAGTATCGATCTCACTCTTGATCTCACCTTTTGGGACGCCACGGGATCTACTGGGCACCACCTCGATCTCAGTATCGATCACAGTATCGAACTCACTCAACGGGATTCCACGGGACACCACGGGACACCACGGGACACCGCGGGACACCTAGAGCAACTGACAGACGGACGGACGGACGGGCGGGCGCGGGAGAATCATTCGTCTTGACTTCGCCCTAGCAACGGCGGACACCACGGGACACCGCGGGACACCTCGGGACACCGCGAGCCACCGCCGACGGACGGACGGGGGAGAATCATTTGTCTTGACTTCGCCCTAGCAACGGCGGACACCACGGGACGTCACGGGACACCACGGGACACCGCGGGACACCGCGGGCCACCGTGGGCCACCGCCGGACGGACGGACGGACGGAGGATAATCATTTGTCTTGACTTCGCCCTGGCAACGGCGGACACCACGGGACACCACGGGACACCACGGGACACAGCGGGACACCGCGGGCCAACGCCGGACGGACGGACGGACGGTCGGGGGAGAATCATTTGTCTTGACTTCGCCCTAGCAGCGGCGGGTTCATTCCTCTCGCGCGCACACGCAGCTTCGCCTTGCCCGCACGCACGACACAAACGAAACGAAACGATTCCCTGGTTGGGGGTCTCCGTTCCACTGCGATCTCACCCCCGAAACTCCGATACTCACGTATGGGGTTCTCCGCGCCGGAGAATCCCCGATGGCGGATCCGCGCCTTGCTGGTCACGCCCAGCCCGGGGAAAGCAAAACGGTCTCCAGGGTAAAGGGGCGGTGACCCAGACATCTGGCCGCTCAAATGTGTCCGATGCGTGGGCCCCAGAGGTCTGGACCACTTCCCCAGGGCCGGGCTTTCGTCCCGAGTCGTTCCTTGACGCTCCCGAGGCCCGACGAGGGCCCCTGGAGGCCGGCAGCGGCCGCACACCCGCCGCTCCAACCTCTTCGCTTGAGCGTCGAGATCTCTGGGGTGACGCCGGCGGCGGCGACCCATCGGACGGCGGCGGCCGACGGCGGCGTCCAGCGGCGGCCGCCGCCGAGGCCTTCGTGGCCCGGGGGGTCGTCGCCCGCAGGGCTGGCCTCGCGCCGCGGGGGCCTGCCCGCGCCTGCGGCGGGCGCCCTCGCCGCGCCGCGGCGACCGCCCGGCGCCAGCGCCGTGCGGCCGGGCTCCTCCTCGGGGCGGGCGGCGGGAGTGCCCGACGCTCCAACGCAACCTCGGAGGCCCAGTGTCCTGGCCGGTTCGGCCTCCGCTGGGGCCCTCGCTGGGCCTTGGGGCTGTCAGACAACGGCTCGGGGCGACAAGCCGGCCCTGGCGAAGTGGTGCAGCCCTCTGGGGCCCCCGTGATGAAGAATTGAAGCGGCTGCTGGATGTCCGGGTCATGGGGGCCTCCCCTACCATCTTTGGACGCCCGAAATGGGTACGGATGAAATGGGTACAATGTCCAACAACAAGTGTTGTCCCAAACCAACAGCGGCCGCTGTTGGGCAAGGGGCTTTTTGCCTCAAACGGACACAGGCCGCGGCGACACCGACAGCGAGTCCTGCTCAAAATGAACAGGAACTGCTGTTGAGCATTGTACCATTCTTTCCGTGTCCATTTCGTTCGTGCAGATCTGGGGCCCACGCGATGAAACATTGAAGCAGCGGCCGGATGTCCGGGTCGTGGGGGCCTCCCATACCGTCGGCTCTTCTTGCGAATCGACTCCATTCGACGATCGCCGGCGCTGAGTCGACGCCAGATCGGCGCTCTCTCCTCGAGCACCATCCCCCCAACGGGGTTACGAGGGTATACACAGCTCCCATGCTTTGCGTCTCAGGAACCCTGACACCCTCCCAGGCAGGCCGGCGTCTCGAACAAATCGAGACGGATGCCTTTCATGGGATTCGCCCATGCTGAAAACAACATGTCGCCAGAGGGCTGAGTCTCCGCCATGGCGAGAATTTCGTGTAGTGGGATAGTCAGGGGCTGCCTGACCTCTGAGCCCTAGGAGGCGCATCGGACCCTCTAGGGAAATGGTAAATTGCCCAGGGCGGACGCTATTGTCGCCCTCACAGCGCACTGATTACCTGGAGCGCGAAACTACACATGGCGAGAATTTCGTAACCGCCACCGCCGTGGTCGTCGTTGCCGTCGTGGCTGCCGTCGCCGAGGGCTGGCGGATGCTGGCTGCTTTCGGGGGCTATCCAGGCACGCCATAGCCAGTGCTTGGGGGAACTCCTGTGGGCCCACACAGGATCGCTCTTACGGACAGACCCAGACATCCGTTGCCACGTGTTTTTCAATCCCGCGCACTGGGAAGGATGAGGATGAGGAGGAGGACGAGGAAGAGGAGGAGGAAGAGAGGGGTGAGGAGGAGGAGGGGGAGGAGGAGGAGGAGGAGGAGGGGGAGGAGGAAGATGAAGAGAAGGGCCAGCCCTTCATTGATGAAGAGCTGGCCCTGGGGCCTGGCGAAGGCCCACGGAGGCTGAAGACGGCCGAATACCTTCCGTTTTAAATTTCTCAAAACATTGGAGGTCTTGGGCCAGCGTCGTCGTCGCCGACGCCGCCGTGGGAATGCCATCTTTTCTTTCTTTCAGCGGGCCTATGGTAGCGGACAAGGGGCGACAATCGATGACACCACCCGTCAAGCAAGGCAACACACTAGTATATACTAAAACGCACATGCAATGTACGACAATATGTGCGACCGGACCTTGCAGAGGAGGATTAGGGAGACGTAAGACCCGGGTTCGGCGGACTCGGGTTGGCCTGACGGGGCCATCAAGGAAATGACGAGACCCAGCCTGAAATTTGACGCCAGCTGCCTCTGCAGACATCCCACGAAGACTGGAACGTCTAAATACAGGACGCACTCGTCAAGAAGCATTGGAAAACCCGGGTTCTGGCGCACTCGAGTCTCAGGTTTCCCTGAGAGGCGCAGGGGTCCGCGGGCATGCCGTCGTTGTCGGCGTCGCCGCCGCCACTGCCGTCGGGCGTCGGAGCCTAGCGTCGTCGTCGTCGTCGTGGTCGTGGTCGTGGTCGTGGTCGTCGTGGTCGTCGCCGTGGCCGCTGTGGCCGCCGCCGCCGAGGGCGCCCAGGGACCGGCGGGCCTCGTGCTCAGCCTCGTGCTCCGCGTGCCCGGGCGCAGGGGCCGAAGGCGGGCGCAAGGGCGGGGCCTGGGGCGGGGAAGGGGGCCTCCCCCCTGCTCCCTCTCCGAGTCGGGGGTCGACTCGAGGATCGATTTACGAGAGGCCTCCTAGATGGGCTCGGAGGAATGGGGTCGTCGGCGATGCATCGGCGATGCACCGGCGATGCATCAGCGACGTCGGCGATGCATCGGCGAGGTAGGCGTGGAGAAACACGGGCTCCACGTCGCGCCGCATCGCCGATGCATCGGCGATGCGGCGCGATCCTCCGACCCCATCCACTCGGACCCCATCGGGGAGGCCTAGATCTGCCCTTGAATCGAATTCTGTTGCGCCGGGCCTACAAGCAAATACTCGTCGTGTTCGTAGATCTACGGAGACTGTACATCGTGTCTCTTTAGATCTGGCCGGAAAAAACAGCTTCGGGCCAAAGCAATCCTGGAGTCGATCTCCTCGTCTTCTCCCTGATCCCTCCTCGCATGTCGATCCTCATTCCCTCCTCCTCCCCCGGACTGGGGGGGGAAGGGCCGCGATTGGGTGGGGTTGACCTTGTTGGGTGGGGGACATCGCCTCGGAACCGGCGGCGCGTAGCCGAAAAATCGGCGATGGGCCCCTACGGTCGGCCCGTATCACAAGGATGCGCGTCAAAGATGCAAGGGCCTTGGACGCCAATCTCGGAACTGTTCGAGTGTGGCGCGGCCAACGAAAGTGGCCACGGATGGGCCGAGGATGCCAGGATGCCGAAGTAATCGCCTTTGAGAGGGTTGCCCATCCTTATGATGCGGGGTGACTCTACCGGTTCTCAATGGCCGGGCGCTGGGGCGGGGCCTGGGGCAGAAGGGGCCCCCGAGGGGGCGCGAGGCAAAGATCGGAGCCTAGACCTCCTCGCGTCGTGAAGCGAGCGCGACAGGCAGCTTTTCCGCAATGTGCGGGCCCTGGAGGCCCCGAGAATGTAACATCAGGTCGGGCATGTCCCTTTACAGGCGGATTTTGGACGAAACATTAAACATGCCCCAAGCATTGTTTTTTTGGAGGGTCTGCGGGTCGAAAGCGATCCTCTTCCGGGTAAGAGCTAGGCGGGCCGCGCAAAACACGAATTGGGGAGACAGGGCGCGGGCGGGCGGGGCCTCGGGCGGCCGGAGGGCGCGGGGTGCAGGCGGTGCTGAAGAGCTCGCGCTAGAAAAAAGGTACACCGTGGACAGGAGCCGGAAGTGAAGTCCCGGAGGGTGAGCGGTGTGGTGTTGCCGTCGACGGCGCGTCAAAATCACCGCCCCCGAGTGCTGCGTGCGGAAGGACGTGGCCAAGGCGACGTCCGGGGATAGAAGTCCACCATGTAGGTGATGAGCAACTTGTGTCACCAAATGGTGAGGAGAGGCCCAGGAGATGAGGAGGACTACGAAGACGATGTGCAGCGTTGTGCCACCGGGTGGTCGGTAGCGGCCTGGGGTGGTAGTCTAATCCACGTCTTGGAAGCAGCCTAGGGGCGCGGCCAGAAGCAGGGCCGTCTGTGCCCGACTGGATGTCGGTGGTGTGCAGGGAGGAAGCCAGTCCTGCACAGTCAGCGCGTGAAGACGGGCGGGGGCCGCACTCGATGCGCCGACGACCGCGTAGCCGAAGGCCAGGCCTGAGACGCGCTGCCCAAGGCATGCGGGGCCGCCGAAGCGGCAAGGTGCAGTGCCCAGCACCAGGCCGGAGCCGCGCCGTGCGGGGCGCCGCCGCCATGGGAGGGGGGGGGTCTGCGAGCGGGGGCGGGAAAAGCGAACAGGGGGGGGAGAAGCCGGCACCGCGTCAGCTTGCACCGGGGTGCTCACGTGGGGACAAACCCCAATGCGTACAGGTAAAACACGAAGTCCCTATGCAGGTACAAGGGGCGTGCCACGCAAGTCGCCGGTGCACCCATGCGTCGCAGATGGGTACAGGTAGGGCGCAGAGTCCTAGATCCTTCAATCTCCTTCAGCCGATGGGTACAGGTGGGACACAGAGTCCCAGATCCCTGAATCGCCTTCAGCCAGTGGGTACAGGTGGGACACAGAGTCCCAGATCCTTGAAAACGGGAAAGTGGGGGGGGGAGGGGGAGAGAAGGACGGGGCCTAAGGGGTGCAGGCGGGGGGGGGGGGGGGGCGCAGGTGGTGGGGGTGCAGGGGCCGTTGTGCCGTGCTGCCGCAGGGCGAGGGGGTCAGGTCGGCGGTTGGTCAGCGCCGCGGGCGCTTTCCAGTCCACGTGTCGTGGTACGCGGAGCTGCGAGCCTGGTCGTCTTCGCGCCCGTCGCCCTGGTCCGCTCCTCGCGCCTCGCCACAGGGGGGTACCTGGCGCCCCTTGCCCGGGCCTTCTCTGCGGCTCGGGGATCGCCGCTGCAACTGGGCCCAGTTGGCGCCGAGGTTCAGCGCGTCGCTCATGGCCCTCACGTCGGAGTTGTGGTTGCGGGAGGAGTGCAGGAAACTGACGCAAGTTCTCTGGTCGCGTCGTCGTGGGTCGAGTGCGCCCTCGCCGTGCTGCTTTGCGAGCGCGCGCCAGGCGCCTGTGAACATCGCGCCCGGGGTGGCTCGGGGCCGCTTGATCGTCTCGCCGGGGGTCTCCCTGGGGAGACTCCACTGGATGCAGCTGATCTAGGTTCTATACATCTGCTGTCCCGTGTCGGGGTCCAGGGGTTCGGGCCCTCGGTGCGCGGCGGGCCTCGCTTCCCGTGGCGGGGTAGCGGAGGGGCCGCAGGGAAGCCGCCAGTTGCCTGGGCAAGGCTGGGCCTCCACCCGTTGCCAGGCGAACGCTTTGGAGGGCGGTTGCGGCCTGGCCGTCGCCGTTCTTCGGTGCTCGAGCCCGCGCCGCTGCCGGGGGGGAAAGGGCCTGGGCGCTGAGAGCCGGCCATGGGAGAGCGTCAGTGGGTGGTTGCCAGCTTGCGCCCCTGCTCCGATTCCTGTGCCGACGCCGCTTCCGTGCCCTCCCCGCGGGCGGCAGCCGCGTCCTGATCTTGGGGCTCGTCAGGATCCTGCTCCCCATGCTGTTCCCGCTTGCTACTCTGCGACAGCCCCGCCTGGCTGGGCCCGCCGCCAACGTCGCCTATGGTTTCGCGCGGCGCGGCGGCAGCTCGGTCGGAAACGCCTGGCGAGGCCGTGCGTGTCGGGGCGCGCCGTGCGGTCGGCCTCCGGGCAGGGGCCAGATCGCCTAGGGCGACTGGGGCAGAGAGGAGCGCTGCACTGCGGCGTGTGGGGGCAGGCCCCTCTCGATGGCGTTCGCCGACGGACCTGCGCCTGTGCTCGCTCGTGGGCGCGCCCCCATCAGTTACCGCGAGGCGATGGCCCGATGTGGGGGTGCTGCGGGTAGCTCCGGCCGCGGGCGCGTTGGCGGGCGCCGAACCTTTCGGGGCGTCCGTCGCCACCCTCGACGAGGCCCAGGCTTCGGAGAAGGGCTTCGGCTCGCTATCCGCTCGGGTAGCCGCGCTGCCAGGGGGGAGGGCAAATTGGCGCGCAAAGATTTCTGTCGACGAGCTGGCGGATGGCCTCGTTGTCCTGCCTCTGCAAGGCTGGTCCGTTGTTCGTGCCAAGCCCAGCTTCTCTAGAAGTGGTCTGCTGGTTCGGGCACTGGGGTGCGGCGGCAGACGGCCGTGCGCCTGCTTGTGTGGTCAAGGCGAGGCCCGGGTCAGGGCCGTCGCGGCAGCCCCCGATTTCGGTTACGGCTGCGGACCCGGGTTCGCCGTGGGTATTCGTACCTGCCCCGGGCCCCCGGTCGATCGGCAGTCGTGGTCTCCTCGAGTGCTGGTCGCCTCCCTGGCCTCGGCGGCTGGCCTACTGAGGCCAGTGCTGCGAGGCACTGTCGGGCTGGGTGGGCCGAGGGGGGGGCCGTCCACGTCCCTTGAGGAGAAGTCACCCTGCCCCGAGGGGTCCGCTGGGTCGCCGAGGGGGCGCGACGCAGCGGCTGTGGCGTGATGGCTCAGGATCGCCGCGCCAGATGAACTGAGCGGCGGTTCTGCGTTGTCCATCAGGACTGGGGGTTCGTCGACGTCACCACGGTCCGGTCCAGGGTGCGGTCCCGTGGCGGGGTCGGAGTTCCCGTTGTGTGGATAAGCGTCACGTCCTCCTTGTTCGCCCTCCCGATGGTCCTCTGTCGTCGTCGGTGGGCGTCGAGGTGGTCCGTGCTCAAGGCGGTCGTCGGGGGGGGCGTTGGGGCTCTAGACACCACGGTTTGCAGCGGTGGCAGATCCTCTGGATGGCCGTCTGTCGCCCTGGTCACCGCGGCAGGATCCGCTTCGAAATTCTGCATTCCCGGCCCCGTGACGGGAGAGGTGCCGACGGGCACAGGTGGGGCGCAAAGTCCCAGATCGTGTAATCCTCCGGATGGTCGTCTGTCGTCGTCACGGGGCGTTGATAGGAGATTCGATAAGATCGAAACCACGGCCCCTTTCTGGCCTCGCGGGCCTCATCTCGACAGTGGCAGGATCCTCCGGATGGCCGTCTGTCGCCCTGGTCACCACGGCAGGATCTGCTTCGAAATTCTGAATTCCTGGCCCCGTGACGGGAGAGGTGCCGATGGGTACAGGTGGGACGCAAAGTCCCAGACCATGTAATCCTCCGGATGGTCGTCTGTCGGCGTCACGGGGCGTTGGTAGGAGATTCGAAAATATCGAAACCACGTTCCCTTCTGGCCTCGCGGGCCTCATCTCGACAGTGGCAGGATCCTCCGGATGGCCGTCTGTCGCCCTGGTCACCACGGCAAGATCTGCTTCGAAATTCTAAATTCCTGGCCCCGTGACGGGAGAGGTGCCGATGGGCACAGGTGGGACACCAAGTCCCAGATCATGTAATCCTCCGCCACCTCCTCGGCCTCGTCCTCGCCCACGCTCTCGTCCTCCACCGCCCCGTCCACCTGACCTCCTCCACCTCCTTCTCGAACGCCTCCTTGTTGTCCTCCTCCGCGCCCTCCTCCACCTCGAACGCGTCCTCCGGCCCGTCCGCGATCCCGCCCTCCACGAACGTGTCCTCTTCTACAAACGGGCCCTCCGGCCCTCCTCCTCCACGAACGCGCCCTCTGGCCCGTCCTCCGGCCCGTCCTCCCCCGCGAACGTGTCCTCCAGCCGCCGGCCGAGCGGCCTCCCCAGCAGCCAGCTCCGCAGCCAACGCCAGCCCGCCGACGCCCTCCCAGAGTGTTGAGGCCGTGGTTAAGGGTCAGCGCTGGGGAGTTCAGGGGTCCAAAAAGCGCCGCCGAAACGAGTGGGGATGTCGCGGCCGCAGCCATCTTACGTCGCGCGAATATTCATACACGCCACAGGCAAAACATATCATAAATATGCATGCCTCCGACATTAAGACCCCAGACGCCTTGAGATGGCCCCACGACGCGGTGGGAACAGAAAGCTCACTTACGAAGTACGTTCGGCAACTCGCAACGCAACCTCACGCCACGACGAAACATAGATCAGGCCGATATCCGTCCCGCGCACAGGCGCTACAACGCCTCGCCGCGCCCCCGTCAGACGCCTGCGACGAAGCCTGGGGCAAAATTGCCGACGCCCACCCAGGAACGCGACAATCTACGTTATCCGACAATCGCTTGATGCGCCCAAACAGCAGCCGAAAAAACCTCGTCGAGGCAAATCTCGAGCGCGAATCGCCGCCGCTGAAGCCCAGACCATGCAACGTCAAGAAGCCTCTGAGGCAACACCGATTCGGAATGCGAGACTGTGACCCCCAAACATCTAGCGTTTGCGCTACCACGCGATCAAGTGCACGTGGCTGTGCTTAGGATGAGGGGGAGGAGATGAGGGGCGAATGGGGGTTGGCAGTTGAGTTTGGAGGGCGTGGGGCGGCTGAGCGAGGAGGGGCATGCGATGGTTGATGCGGAGGCGCTGATGAGGGGGGCGGACAGACAACGCAAGCAAGGATGAATAATAGTCGGGCGAGCGGGACAGGAACCGCAAACTAGGCGTATCACGATTTGTGTAAAGGGTATGGCGGCAGTGCTGCGGCTCCTCCGTGTGTTGCTTCTCCCCCTACCCCTCCACTTGTTCCTCCTCCTCCTACTCCTCCTCCCCCTCCCCCCTCTCCTCCTCGCCTCCCTTTTCCTCCTCCTCCTCTTCCTCCCCCTCCTTCTCGCGGGGAGGTGGTGCCCAACCGTCAGTGGCATCATGCCAGAGCGGACAACCTCGCCGTCGGCCACGCTGGGACGAGCATGGGGGCTCAAGAGGCCACGAGCACAAACCCGACGTGCGATCATGTTTCTCCAGTTGTCATCGCAGGTGCGCAGCGCGCAACTGGCGAATAACCCCACGGCCAGGCGTGTGTCAAACGGCCTGGGCGGCCCGCATGCTGCCTGTGCCTCGCAGCGGCAGCAGGCTCCAGAAAAAAAGGGAAGCTACGCAGTTTGCAAGGAGACGGCGCCCAAAGCGAAGCTAATCCCCCAAACCTATCCGAACCGTTCACTCGAGACCTGCACCGACAGGGCACATGCGCCCGTCGCTGATTCTTGAGATTTTCATTGGGCTGGGCGCGCGCCCCCCGCATAATTATTGCCGAGAGGTGCACGCGCGGCGGGGCATCGACGATAAACGATGAAGCTTCGGCTCGAGCAGAACCGATGCCTGTGGCACCCGCGCTGCCCGAGCCCCCGCCCTTTCGTTTTTCGCCCATGCCCCGCCGCTGCCCTTGCTGCGGCGAAAACGGAGGGGGTGCGGGCGGCGCCCTCGCGCCCGCGCCCACGTCGCAAGCGCGACGCGCCACGACGGCGCCCGTCGATCGCCGTCGCCTCACTGGGAGCCCAATCGACGACCAACATCGGGCAGCAAGAATCCGCGAGACCCAGGGCTGACCAAAGTAGGCAAGGGGGCGGGGGCTGGAGCCCGAGCGGGCGAGCGGCGGCAGCGCTCGATGAGGCACCCCCCCCTCGACGGAGGGAGGGAGCGAGTGGGGAGGGAGGGGGGTGGAGGCGGGAGGCAGAAGGGGGGAGGGATGCAAGAGGAAGGAGGGTGGAGGAGAGCGCAAGGAGGAGAGAGGAGGACGCGTGGGGGGGGGAGGAAGCGCGACGACGGAGGAGGTCCGACGGCCAGACGACGATGTTGGAGGACGGCTCCGAAAGCCCGGCCTGCTCCACAGAGCGCCGCCGCCCCCCCCCCCCCCCCACCCCACGCGACCCCGCCCCCCCTGGAAGAACCCCCGCCAACATCACATGGTAAGATCCCCCGTGAAAAGGACACCCGAGAGGACCCCTCCCCTCGAAGAGATCCCCGCCCTTTCTGGGCGCCCTTTCTGGCGCACCCTGAAAGGATCGCCTGAAAGGGCACCCAGAAAAGATCCCCCCTGAGAGGATCCTTGAAAGGGCCCCCTGAGAGGATCCCCACTCCGCGCCAGCTTCGCCCGTCTACTTCCAATCCTTCTGCGGCCAGGCCAGACGGCGAGGGGGGGGGAGCGGGGTCGCCTCGCCGCCAGGCGGTTCAAAGGCTGCGCTGGTGCTGGCCCGAGTCCTCAATCCCGTCCTCATCGCCCTTCTTCTCGGGCTCGCCGCCCGCCTGCTCGCCCTCCTTCGCGGCCGCCGCCTCGATCTTGTCGCGCCACTCCCTCAGGGGCACCTGCAAGGCCTTCATCGTCTTCGGGTGGTACGGCATCGACCTCGCCATCAAGCCTGCCACGGCTGAACAGGCGGCCGTGCACGCAATGGGGTCGTTCTCGCAATCAATGACGGGGCGCATGGTGTAGTGCAACCATCCCTGGGGCAACTCGTCGGCCCCCTCGTCCACCGCGAACTCCTTCGAGTTGTCATCCCACTCACTCACGCCGAAAATGACCAGCCAGGTGCCGAATGGCACGTACAAGGAATCACCAGCATTCAATACAAACTTCGGCACCTTCTTCAATATCACCTAGGCGTCTGCCGAATTCAAGAACACCTTCATGTCGTTGCCGCCGAGCTTCTGGACGTCCTCCACGGGGACGGCGAGTGCGACTGCGATGCCGTTCCCAACGGTGACGTAACACGCCGCACCAGCGAAAGGGCAAGCCTGCGGCGTGAACGACACGGAAAACGGCTTCTGGAAGAACGTGAGCAAAGGAAAAGTCGTGGAGTCGCCAGGGTGCGTGCTGCTGCCGTCTGCGTCAGCGGAGTGCTTGAACTCGAACGTGCTCTTCATGGGGCCGAAGCCGACCGTGCCTTTCATTTTCTTGATGTAGTCGACGTTCCCCTTGGCAGATGACTCGAGCTCGCTCTTGAAAGCCTTGTGCTGGTCCTGCAACATGACATGCCACTTCGACAGCTGGTCGGGCTTCTTCGCGACAACGCCGAAGGTCGACACTTCTCCGAAGTTCAAGGAATCCCCGCACTCGCCGTTGTCGCCGAGCGAAGAGTATGACACGCCGACCTCCTTTTCCACGAGCACGGGGGGGATGACCTTCGCGATGGACTGGGGAATCCCCTTCTCGTGCATCCTGTTCGCCGCCTTCTCCTTTACGCCTCGGATCTGACGGCGCTCTTTGTGGCTCTTCTTCCTCTCCCCCGCGCGAATGGTCTGCAGTGTCTGGATGTCCTCGACGAGATTGATCTTCTTGGAGCGCGCGGCCATGGCCAAGGAGATGGAATCCCGCTTGGCGGAGAAGTCACGCGGCAGCGCCCAATGCGAGACATCGTCCAAGATCTTCTGCAAGTCGTGTTCGGCAACCTTCGCCGACGAGATCACCGAGTCCACGCCGAGGCACTTGACTTCAGTGTGATCCCTGACCTCCTCGAGGAGCTCCTGGAGGACCGCGATGTGCGTGACCTTGCCAGCCTCGTGGCGAACGGGCGGGCAATCGACGGTCGACATTCGACGTGGCGAGCGGGGCAGCCGATGACAGCTGGGATGGTTGGCAAGGTAAAGGAGGAGGCGGGTGGCAATGCAGAGAAAAGAAGAGGAGGAGGAGGAGGAGGAGAAATAACTGCAGCCTTGCACGAATCCAAATAGCTCTCGAGGGTTCGCTTGACCGACCGCTTCGCAACAGTGAAAATGCTGGGCGGGACGGAGCCGGGATCGATCGAGGGCAGGGCTTCCTCTACTGAGTCGGCGTTCTCCACTTGCTGCTTCAGCGCTGCCTGGTCGTCCTTAGCCGGCTTGCTGGAGCGGCTGCTGGCACGCGCTCGGGGCGACAACGGTGCCTTGGAGCCCTTGTGAGAGGCAGCTGCACGCCCGCCATCGCACCGACCAGGCTCCACCAACTCCGCCTCGCCGTCGGTCCCCGAATGGATGCTGGGGCCGTCGCTCGCAGAACCGTCGTCGTCGCCAGAGTCGATGAACTTGGCGGCGCCCTTCTTGCCCGAGCTGGACGGGAGCAACTTGGCCATGGGGCGCCGCAGCATGGACTCCGCCATGTTCTTCTGGGCGCCGCGCGCCCCCGACTTGAACCTCTGGGTGTCCTTCAGCACGTCCCCCCTGTCGATCTCTGTCGGCTTCCGGACAGCCGCGACCGTCGCGCCGTTCTCCTGGAGCGGCAACGGCGGAGCGCGGGGGCGCAGCAGGGGGGGCCAGGGATACCCAGAGAGCGCAGGGTAGTTCCAAGGACGCCCCAGGAGAGCCCGAGCTCCAGCACCCCGCCCACAGAAACGAACGCACACAGACAAGAAACATCGCACGCTCAACCGTGCATGTAGCGCCACCTTCGAGGCTCTCCCTGGGAACAGCCTAGGGGCCCTCTGAGGGGCGTCGCGAGGCCCTCGGAAAAGCCGAAGGGGCACCCGAGATGCCATCATATAGAGCCCCAAGAGGCCCCAACATAAGTAACGAAGAGGATGGCGAAGGGGAGCGCGAGGACGATGAAGAGGACGAAAAGGAGGAGGAAGAGGAGAAGGATGAGAGAGAAAAAAAGGATCACGATGCGCAGGAAGAGGAGGAGACGGAGGACTGACGAGGAGAAGGAGGAAGCATGACGGGCGGGATAAGGAGGCGGGGGATGTGAAGACATGAGGGCCTGGACGAGGTCGAGGAGGATGGGCATGCACGTGGGAGAAGACTGGTGGGCAGGGGAGGACTGGGGAAACGAAAAAAGAAATCCGAAGGTCATGGCCCACCTGGGATTCCAGAGGTTCCAGAAGGAGAAGAGGGCCCCACCTCTTCTGCCCCCCTGCCCCAGCTGCCAAGGTGTCCTTAGTCTTGTAGACCTTGGGATCCTCCAAGTCCCTCTTGTACTGCTGCTTCGCCCTGTCGCGCAAGATGCCGTTCTGGTAAACCTCTCGGCGCGCGCGGAAAGACGAAGGGGCGATGGGGGGGATCACAATACTGGGGTCGGGGCAAGGCAACGCGGCGACGGCCAGGGGGGGGGTGATGGGGCCGCCACCCTCCTCGTCTCCCTCCTCCTCCTCCTCCTCCTCCTCCTCTCGTGTCATGGCCTGAGGGTAGGGGGGAGTTGTGATGGCCATGAGCCTGGTAGGCTATGTACTGACCTCAAGAGGAGCATGCCGCGCTTGGTGCGGGTGACCACTTCCTTGGTGAACTCGCGCACGAAGTCGACCACGTCCGAGGGGTGGGGCCTGATGCGCTTGCCCGAGGTGGTGCGGCGGTTGCCGCTGCTGAGGAGCTTAAGGAGACCTTTGCACTGACTCGCTGATTTGTGCTTCATGTCCTGCACCTGGGGGGCGAGGCCAATGTTCTTCAGCTGTCTGTCCAGGGCCCGCTTGTCCAACGCGCAGTCGTAGTGGCAGTGGCAGGCGCGAAACCTCTTCTGGTTCGGCAACAGCGGCTCGTGGCATTCCGTGCACAGGGGATACATTGACTCTTCGCCAGCAGGAGAGTCAGCATCGGCGCCGCCAGCATCGGAGCCCGCACCACGACGACCGCCACCAGCATCGGAGGAGGCGACCTGCGAGCACGAAAGCAGGCTCTGCGAGAGCGACCTTGGTGGCGGAGTCTGTGGAGCTCGCTCATCGGACGGGTGGCGCTTCGCCCTCTTCTCGTCAACCCCGTCATCACTGGTGAAGCGCCTGCGACGACGGCCGCGGCCGACGTCGCGCGCCGAGGCAAGGCCCACTGGCGAACGACCCGGGCGCCCGCGGTCAGCCCTCTCCTTGCGGCGCGCGTCTGCGCTGCTCTCATCGCGGGGGCGGCCGCGCTGGCGATGCCGCTCTCTCTCGGACCTCGTAGGCCCACCCTCCTGGCGATTGCTGCCTGAGGCTCTCGACGAGGCAGGGCGGTGGCATCTGGAGCCCTTGGCCCCCTCTGCACGACTGCGAGGGCGGCTGCGGCTGCCCCCCATCTGCGCCCGCCCGCGGCTCTCTCAGAGCCCCCTCCAGGGCGCGGCAGGCGATGCGGCCCTTCACCAGCTGGTTTGAGCCCAGATGGCAACGGAGAGGCACAGGAAGTGGACACTCGGAGCCCACAGAAGGGCCCAAGAGGGCCTCTTGGGGTCCCCTTAGGGTGCACCAAGATGTGAATATAAAAAGGTGCTGTGCATATTCGACCCCGAAGCCCTCCTGGAGCCGTCCTGGGGTCTGCTTCGGGCCCCCTTGGACGCTCCCAAGGACTTCCACGAGGCCCAAGAGGGCATCTTAGGGCCCTCTTGGGGGCCTCATGGGGGGCCCGAGAGTTCAATATAAAAAGAATGTGGTTTATATTCGCCCCCGCTGCCCTCCTGGAGCCGTCTTGGGGGGCAGCTTGGGGCCCTCCTGGGGCCTCCCAAGGAGTTCCAAGAGGCTCTCGGGCCCTCTCGGGGTAATCTGAAGCCGCGTCGGTACTTTCGGGGAGACACAGGGAGCTCTAGACAAACAAGCTCTATGTCGAGAGCTCTTCGCGACCCTCCTGGGGCCGCCTGGAAGCTTTCGCGAAATCTCGTGGGGGGCCCCTTGGGGCCCGCTGGGGGTGCACCCTTGTGCCACCCTCTCCAGTGCACCAAACGCGCGAGGCTGCGATGTGCTCTCTGAAAATACTCGCGGGGTTCTTCGGAATCGTCTAACGGCCCTCTCGGGGGACGTCATGCATCCAGCGGCGTTGTGCAATGCCCTACCCCCACATCAGAGCGACACCACTTGACATCATTACACGCGCGGCCCGCCATTGCATGCGCATATATTATATCACAACACAGTCACGGGACCACGTGATATCTCATGCGAAACGCTCGCTGGCGCCTGCGCGCTACTTTTGCTCACTCACATTTACTTCTTGTCGCGCTAACCACACGCATCGCCTCAATCATGCGAGCGTCATGTCGCCTCAGCGCGAGAGCGTCATCCCCACGCATCCCCACGATATCCCCACACATCCCCACGACATCCCCACGCATCCCCACGACGTCCCCGCGCATCCCCACGCACCCCCACGACATCCCCACGTGTCCCCACGACATCCCCACGTATCCCCCACGTCATCCCCATGACACCCCCACGTGTCCCCACGACATCCCCGCGTGTCCCCACGACATCCCCACGCATCCCCACGACGCCAACACAACGACATCGAATGCTACTTGATTATTCGTTCTTGCTCACTTTGCACGTTGGATAGCATCACACTAAGCATAGAATGCCACACCCTGCACGCATGCCCAACGCCGAAGCCGACTCCTTCGCATGACAAGCCGAGCCCCTGCCCTACTACCGATCGCTCGAACTACCAGACGACAGAACACGACGCCAATGTGAGGGGCGCGGATCAAACGCGAGGAACGCTATCATGAGAAGGAGTCTAACCTCTTACGCGGCGCATGCTTTCGAGGACGGCCATCCACAAGAACTCTTGCACCCCTGCGCGTTTAATCACTCTGGGTTGGGCCCTTCGCCAAGGCGAGACTCTCAGCATCTACCTCCACATCCGACGTGAACTTCGGTCAAAAGATGGCACGCCCCTCTTTCCCATGGAGGCGCAGGGCCGAGCTACAAACAAGTGCTCAACATGCGACTGGCGTTTGCATGCCAAAAGCAAGCAGGCACCTGGCGCATACTTTCAAACAGGCACGTCTGAGAGAGGCGCAAGGGCCACAACTGAGGATGCGAAAAAATGCACGCACATGCCAGACGTGCACCAACTCTCTGGCGACTCTCGGAGCCCCCTCGCTCACTCGGAGCCCCCGTCGCCCTCTCCCGAAGAATCGCTCTGGAACGAATCATCTTGGTCACGGATCGCCTTCAGGGTGCCAGCAGCCCACCTCGGCCGCTTGGCGCTCTTGCCCTCATCCCTGCCTGTGCTCGCGCCCGCGCTGGATGCCGCAGCGCTCGAGGAGGCAGCCCCCGTTGACGGCAGCGGAGAACTCGGAGCCGCGGAGGAGGTAGCTGCACACGCCGATGAAGATGCAGCGATGACAAAGACGCCTTCACCTGCGCAGAGAGCGGCTTCTGAAGCTGCTCGGCGAGGGACCGCTCTCCAGTAGTCCGAGCAGTCGGGCGGGTCGGCGACGCCCCTGTGCGAAGCCTCTTGTTCGCGGCCCTCTGGGGCTCAGTCGCCTCGTGGCACACCCCCGCCCTGTCAATGACGAGCGGCCTCGACATCGCGTGGCACTTCAGGTGGAAGTTGGCTGACTGAGGCTGGCTGCGACTCCTGACCTCCTCCGTGGGGACGTCCATCATGAAGCGCAGGTTCTGGGCGATGCGCAAGTGCCACGCGACCAGCGGCTTGAGCTTTTTGAACTTGTTCCTGTAGCAGTTGAAGTCCTTGTTGGGGGCAACCTGATCAGCCTTCAGCTCGCGAATGCGCCTCTTGGCGGCGCGGAGGTCCATCTCCTCCTCCTGGCCAGCCTCGAGCGCTGCCTGATCCGCAGCGGAAAGCCCAGCAGACATGGATGGCGCAGCGGCTCGGGCGTTGGCGAGTCCAGTATGCGAGGGGTGCCAGTCACGAGAGCCAACAATGCGTCGGCCAACGGTTGGGGGCCCTGGCGACGAACACTGGCACGGACAGATGCACGGCCTCGGCAACGGGGGGGCACGAAGAGTCAACGGCCAGTTCGATGATGACGATGCGATGGATCACGCGCAGAGCGTAACATTCTGAAGGCTGATCCAGTCCAGAACAACAGCGCGCAGCAGCAGCAAACAACAAGAATGCGACAGAGGTTGGTCGCTGCACTCCCCCCGACCCACCCCTGACTCAAAATGACAGCCTCCTCCTCCTCTTCCTATTAAGCTCCTCTCCCATGCCCACTTCCTCCGAGTCGCCATCAGGAGACGTCACCACCGCTCGCTCAGGCAGCTCCAAGCTCAAGCCGCTGGATGGCCAGCTGGTGGGAGAATAATTGACAGATCCCCGTGGCGCCGAGCGAAGGCGGCGCCGTGCGCGACTACCCATGCAGCTACATCCTCGGGAGACGGCTCCAGGCGAACATGATCAACGCCTGGGCCGCAAGGCAAACTCCCCCAACAGTGCAAGAAAGCAGGAACCTCGACTTCACCGAAAGTGGCAGTGCTGCGCGGCCCTACGTTGCGCCTTTTCACGCAACCTCGCGGACATGTGAAAATCCAATTAGAATAAGGCTTGCCATTAGGAGGTTCGTAATGCTGCA